GGGCGAGGTCTCCGGCAAGGAGACACGGGGCCAGAGGTTGAGCTGATGCGCGGCGTACCGGACCGCAAACGGCCACAGAAAATGGGGGGCAGCCGCATGGATCATGGAGGTACGAGCGACCTCCATGACTAAGCCAATGCGGCGCTCAGCAACCCCATTCTGCTGCGGAGAGGCCGGAAGCGTGAACGACTGGGTGATGCCGTGCTCCGCACAGTAGGCTGCCAAGAGGTCGGAGGAGAACTCACCACCTCTGTCAGAGTGCAGACGCAGGACAGGAAAGTCCGACCGGAACCGCTCGCGGAGCTGGAGACGAACAGCGCGGATCCAGGGGATCAAAACAGCAGGGACGTCCCCCTTGCTCTGCAAGGGGAAGACCGTGGTGTAACGCGTGTAGTCGTCGACGACCAGCAGGAAGTACCGCTCGCGGCCCTGTCCCTGGACGCGGGCTAGGCCCCACACGTCCAGGTGGAGCGTCTGCAGTGGAGCCTCTGTGGGAGGAAACGAGGAGGAGTGAGGAGCGGCGCGCTGCCGCCCCTCGACGCAAGGAATGCAGGGCGGCGCAGGCGAGGGAGGGAGGGCAGGCAGGGACCTGGGAAGACCAGAGACCAGGGAGCGAGAGTGCATGCTACGCAGGCGAGGCAAGGAGGGGTGACCAAGGCGGTGGTGCCACAGGAAAGTGTCGTGCGACAAAGCGCGACACTCGCAGGGGGCCGCCAGCTGACCAGACGCAGACGCAAACGCAGACGCAGCTACCTGAGGGGACTCAGTGGTCAGTGTGTACAGACTCGAGCCAGGTGCACGGGTGAACGTGGCCAAGTGCCGGCCCGTCCTAGCACACGTACAGTGAGTCACTCGCTGACTCGCAGGAGTGAACTGGTCAACCCCCCCATCCTGGAGGTCAGCTCCACTCACCAAGTTCGTAGAGAACGAGGGGAGGTAAAGACCTGACAGCGAGCCGGACGGGACGGCCGGACACGGCAGAACCGTGGAATAGTGGGCAAGGACTGGACCCCCAGAGGGGTCCGCCAGGGAGACCGGGACTGGCCGACGGAGCGGCGTAAGTGCGGTGCAGTCGCGAAAGAAGGAGCGGGAAGCTCCTGAGTCAAGGGTGAAGGTGTGCGAGACCGCAGTGGGCGCAGTACCAGAGAGAGCAGACACAGCAGCACCTGATGCCACGGCCTCACCAGTACCTAGAGCAGTAGACGTACTAGCACCGAGAGCAGCAGCCTCACCAGCACCTAGAGCAGGAGACGCACTAGCACCTAGGGCAGCAGCCTCACCAGGGTCAGGCGGTACGCACAGGCAACAGGCACGGTCAGCACTAGTAGACAATGCATACATGGCAGTGAGAATAGCATCATAGTCAAGCGCAAAGATATCTACCCTCTGTCTATGCAGCTCCAGCCAGGTGGGGAGCTCAGCCTCGTCGCCAAACACTGTGCGCCAGTCGTCGCTCAGACGGGCGAAGCAGCGGGACTGTGTGTGACCAAGCGTCCCACAAGGCTGACCAGTCCTAGCACCTGTGCGAATGACGTACGGGCAGCGGACTGTACGCGTAGACCTGCTACACTGAGCGTACCACTCCTGGAGCTGCCGGGGCGTAAGTGTCTCACGTGGACGTCCCTGCAGCTGCAGCTGGCCACTGCCAGACGCTCCCAACTGACCAGCTCCAGGGCGACAGCTACGACGGCTACCGCGACAACCCCAGCTAGTATACCACTCACTAAGCTGCTGAGGCGTCAGAGGCTCGCGTGAATGTCGCTGGAGCTGCATCTGGCCACCTGCCAGTAGCAGTAGCGCAGGAAAGGCAGGCGCGGCAGGCAGGCAAGCAAGCAGGCAGGCAGGCAGGCAGGCAGGCCGGCAGGTAGGCAGGCAGCCAGGCAGGCAGGCAGGCAGGCAGACAGGCAGGCAGGTAGGCAGGCAGGCAGGCAGGCAAGTAGACACGCAGGCAGACAGGCAGGCAGGCAGGCAGGCCGGCAGGCAGGCAGGCAGCCAGGCCGGCAGGCAGGCAGGCAGACAGGCAGGCCGTCAGGCAGGCAGGCAGGCGCTCACCAAAGGCTGGGAGAGCAGGGCCGGCGCTCGAGTAGGCGCACGACAGCGGCGACGTCGGGGCCGCAAAACCGGCTGCAGAGCAGGGCCGAAACAGCTGGAGGGCGCTGCCGCGTCAGCGGCAGTAGCAGGGTGGGGCCGCGTCAGCGGCAGGTCGGGGTCGTGGCAGCTGCAGGGCGGGGCCGCATCAGCGGCAGGTCGGGGCCATGGCAGCTGCTGGGCGGGGCCGCATCAGCGGCAGGTCGGGGCCGAGGCAAAGGGCCGCGCGCGGCCGCGCTAGGGAGTAGCGGGCCGCGCGCGGCTCGGCGCGGGCTGTTGCGGGCCGCGCGCGGGCCGTGCGAGGCAGGAGCAGGCCTCGCGCGGCTCGGCACGAGCTGCTGCGGGCCGCGCGCGGGCTGCGCGAGGCCGTAGCAGGCCGCGCGCGGCTCGACGCGGGCTGCGCGGGCTCGGCGCGGGCTGCGCGCGGCAGCTGCGAGCTGCGCGCGGCTCGGTGCGGGCTGCGCGCGGTTGCAGCGGGCTGTGCGCGGCTCGGTGCAGGCTGCGCGCGGCTGCAGCGGGCTGCGCGCGGCTCGGTGCGGGCTGCGCGTGGCTGCAGCGGGCTGCGCGCGACTCGGGGCGGGCTGCGCGATCTCGGTGCGGGCAGCGCGCGGTAGCAGCGTGTGTGCGGGCCCGACAGGCGTGTAGAGGCGGCGCGCGGGCCTTACGGGCCTCTAGGGGCAGCGCGCAGGCAAGGCAAGGCAAGGCAAGGCATACAAGGCAAGGCAAGGCTACGTGGGGTAGCGCGGTAACCGCAGCGGTAGGTGGGCCCGAAAAAAAAAAAACGGTCCTACGGACCTTAGTGCTCTGAAACCATGTTAGAATCTAGCAGCAGGAATGGATGAACTAACAGGATGCAGGAGTACAAGTAGTAAACCCTAACTAGGTTGTACCCCATATGGGCAATATGCAGCACATATAGTTTGACAGATTCAAGGCAAGAGGTGAGCACAGGGTGCGCCCACGCACCAGCACATCCAATTGTAGCCAAACAGGGAAAGAGGTGACCACCCCACCCGTCCACCAACACACCAACACACCAATAACCAACCTAACCAGCCTAACCAGCCTAACCAGCCTAACCAACCTAACCAGCCTAACCAACCTAACCAACCTAACCAACCTAACCAGCCTAACCAACCTAACCAGCCTAACCAGCCTAACCAGCCTAACCAGCCTAACCAGCCTAACCAGCCTAACCAGCCTAACCAGCCTAACCAGCCTAACCAGCCTAACCAGCCTAACCAACCTAACCAACCTAACCAACCTAACCAGCCTAACCAACCTAACCAGCCTAATCAGCCTAACCAACCTAACCAACCGAACCAATCGAACCAGCCCAACCAGCCCAACCAACCCAACCAGCCCAACCAACCCAACCAACCCGACCAACCCAACCAACCTAACCACCCTAACCAACCTAACCACCCTAACCACCCTAACCAGACGAACCAGCCCAACCAACATGACCAGCCTAACCAGCTCGGCATAACCAACCCTGCCTAAGCAGCCCTACTTATGCAGCCCTGCATGCACAATGCCCCCATCTCACCTTGGCCAGGCGGTGTCGGGAGAGAGCCACGACCACAAAAATGCTGCGCGCATAACCCCTCACACATACACCCCTCACACATACACCCCTCACACATACACCCCTCACACATACACCCCTCACACATACACCCCTCACACATACACCCCTCACACATACACCCCTCACACATACACCCCTCACACATACACCCCTCACACATACACCCCTCACACATACACCCCTCACACAACCACCCCTCACACATACACCCTCACACAATCACCCCTCACACATACACCCCTCACACATACACCCCTCACACAACCATCCCTCACACATACACCCCTCACAAAAACACCCCTCACACATGCACCCCTCACACATACTTCCCTCACAAAATCACCCCTCACACATGCACCCCTCACACAATCACCCCTCACACATGCACCCCTCACACACACTCCCCTCACACAATCACCCCTCACACATGCACCCCTCACACATACTCCCCTCACAAAATCACCCCTGGCACATACACCCCTCACAAAATCACAACTCGCATATGCACCCCTCACACAAACACCCCTCACACATACACCCTACCCTCACCACCACCTCTCCTTGCCCATCTCACCTTGGCGAGGCGTCGTCGTGAGAAAGCCACAACCTCGGGGCGAGCATCTGACAGCATATGGCGGCATCTGATTGGATGGACGAGCGGGAAGTGTCAACACCTCCTACAGGGACAGGACGGGAAATGGGTGGGGTGGGGGCATAGGGTGTTAAGAACATAAACATTGAGTTGAATAGTGCGTATGGGTGGGGAGAGCATCTCAATGAACTCCAAAGAACTGCACGCCCAAGTGATGATGCGAATTGAAACAAATGTCTCGCATGCAGGGTGTTTTTGAGAATTCTCAAAAACACCCTGCAGCATAATGTCTCGCATCATCACCCCCACACCCTCCTCTCCTGCGCCGTTCCTCCCGCCTTCCACCCCACCACCACCCCTTCTCCCCTCCCAAACACTCACCTGTCCCCTCCACTTAAGGTGCAAGCACCACACACCTGTGCACAATCGTAACAATCATGATAGCCCTTATCCATTCTCCCACCTCTCATCACCCCTCTCCCTCTCTCACCACTCCTCCTCCACGGCGCTCAGCTTGGGAAATTCAACCTGAGAGGCGCACCTGATGGGCGCACCTGATGGGCGCACCTGATGGGCGCACCTGATGGGCGCACCTGATGGGCGCACCTGATGGGCGCACCTGATGGGCGCACCTGATGGGCGCACCTGATGGGCGCACCTGATGGGCGCACCTGATGGGCGCACCTGGGGTGAGGAGGTAGAGGCCAAGGGGGCTGTCAGGAACATGAGATGGTCAAGGCAAGACGCATGCCACACAGCATGCTGCATGCCTCCACGCCAATGTAAGTGGTCAGCTTCTTGCCCTCTCTTCTCCTCCCTTCACCTGTCGTTCCTTCTCCTCCCCTTCCTTCCCCTCCCTGCTTGCCCCTTCTCCCATCCAATCTCTCCGTCCTTTCTCCTCTCTGACATTCGCCTACCCACTCGTCTCCATCCACCTGCCTCTCCTCCACCCTCCCTTCACTCCCTGCCCCTCCTCCCGCCCGTCCTCACCCCTCCGCCAGCCCCGTCTCCCCTCCTCCGCCCTCCTGCTCCGTCCCCTGCTCCCCCTTCTCCCACCCCTCGCCTCATTTCCGCCAAATCCAAGCCACGCGCGCCTGTATCCTCACTTCCCCTCCCCCCCCTGCGCCTCCCCTCCCCACTCCGCCTCCCCTTCCCCCTCCGCGCCGCCGCCCGTCGCCGCTGCCCTAATAAGCGCTTCCCGTTCCAGCGGCGTGCAAACTGATTTCCGTAAATTCTCGCGTAGGCGGCGGTACAGGCGCACGCAGCGGGAGCCAGGGAGACTCTGCTGTAGACTCTGCTGTTTCCGCCGCTCTCGCGTAGGCGGCGGTACAGGCGCGCGCAGCGGAGGCGCGCGCAGCGGGAATTACAGCGGTAGCGGTGATGGTGGCGCTGGTGGCAGGGGCGGTTAGGAAGAGATCCAGGCGGAGCGCGACCGGCAGGGGCTTCCACCGCCTCTCCGCTCCGCCGCTTCGGCCTGTGCTGCTCGCAGCAACTCTGCTGTTTCCGCCGCTCCCGCTGCCTCTGCTATTGGCGCCGCCAGGAGCCCGGGTGCTTGCCCCATCCGACATTTATGCTGCTCCTCGCGCTTCTGCCTTCGCTGCTTTCCGCCATCGCAAATGGGTTCTCCATTCTTTCTCTCTCTCTCTCCTTGTATACGGTCGCTTCCTCGTCGTCGGCAGTCACTGATTCGTCGTCGTCCGTCGCTCTCTAATAGCATGTCTGTCGTTTTGATGCGATGATTATTGAGCCAGTGACAGGTCACTTTTGCCCTTCCAGCTCTTGCTCGCACTCGCCTGCGCATGCGTGCTTGCCCCACACGCCATTGCCGCTGCTCCTCGCGCCTCTGCCGTTGCGGCCCTCTCCGCCATCGCGAATTTGTTCTTCTCACTCTCATTGTTTACAGTCGCTGCCTCGTCGCGGTCCGTCACAACTCTCGTCGCTCGTCGACGCGACCACTATCTAGCCACTATCTGACGTCAGTTGGTTATATGTCGTCGGATTTACACAATCAGGTGTGTTATCCAAGCACCTCATCCAATGCACATAAGATAATTCTCAAAGTCTACCACTTTCCCAGTATTTTCATAACCATTGCTCGTATAGAATGTTTATTTCTGTAGAGCAGAACTCCTTATTGAAATGACACAACGGGCTCAAAGGCATTCGTCGGGAAAATCTGGCGCATCGTGTCCGCGTCGCGCAAAGGCATTTGAATCGCAATGTGCGGTTCGATTTTTGCAATTTCGTTTCAATGCAAGCACCCCCTACACCTTCCTCCCCCGCCCCTTTCCCATCTCCCCCTTCCCTCCCAAGTCCATCATCACGACTGAATTCCACGTCGCTCTCCTCACCTCACCTCTTCCCACGTTCCAGACCTGTCCGAACAAGCAACCCCACCCCGCTGCTTTCGATTCGCACGCACATCCCCGTACATAATCCACCTCCTAACACCGACCAAAACTACTCCACCAGACTTACCTTATCACCAACCAGCGGCTAGACCTCACCGACCACCAGCTATAGTTACGTTATCACGATGTACGCGCCGGCTACGCAGATGTACCACGGGTCCTATAAATGCCAGGGCGTGAGGCTTCAGATGTATCAGACAAGACATATTACCCAGACTTGTTATAAATTCATTCCGCAATCTCCTTACAATCTCTTCCTCTCCACGGCACCACCCCCGTTGATCTTTGAGAATTCTCAAGAATCGCAGTCGCTGCAGCCATGAGGCGTTCCAAGGTTTTCTTCGCCCTGCTCGCGCTCTCGCTGCTCGTATCCCTCGCGCTGGCGCCGCAGTGCCGCGCGAATGAGATCGCCGCGGACAATGACGACGCCGACGATGACTTGGACGCCGCCATTTCCGCAGACGCGTCGCCTCCTGGTGCGTGTGGTACCACGTTGCGCTCGGAAACGCCATGCGCTCCCCTCCGACCCTCCCCTGCTTTGCCTTGATGTAACAGATCACACTGAACCTCAGACGCGACGTTTTTGATTGAATTCGTTCGTTCCATGCCTTCCCTGTTTCCAGGTCTCGTGGATGCGTTATACCGAGTGAGCCGGCGGTTCCTGTATTCGCCGCGCATGCTGTCGTGCCGGTCTGACTGCGAGGACAAGAACAAGAAGTGCAACACTGATTACAGCGAGTGCAAGCGCGAGAACAAGGACGACAAGCATGACCACCACAAGTGCACGCACACTTACAAGAAGTGCAAGAAGAAGATCAAGAAGTGCCGCCGCAAGTGCGACTAAGTAGAAGACACAGAAAGTTGCAACGACTAGGACACTGGTAGAAGTTTTTTATTGAAAGTATTATCTGCCCAACTGGGGATGTTCTAGCGGGTGATTTCGTTCCAACAGTAATCCCAGAGCTAAGCCATTGTCAGGAGTTTGTACCTCTTCACCACGTCTCACACTGAACACGCCTCTGCTGCCCAAGAGTACTCAAGCCCACACCACCAGGAGGTCGTGAGCACAGGAAAAACTTGACATACACACACACCCCAACTGTGATTATGAGCAGCACACACTCTAGCCGACCCTCCTATCCTGGACAATGCAGCTGATTCTAGCAGCAGGCTGCTGGCAGTAGCACATTAGGACAAAAATCATCAGCTTCTCCTGAGTTTCTCCGATAGCCCTTCTGGTTGACCCCCTGTGCGATACTTCTCCCCTGCATGGTGCCATAACACCACCCGTAGGTTACTGCCTGCTGCTCAGTCGCTCTGTATAACTCTGAACCCGTACGAACCGGTCCTGCATATGGCACAACTAGGATTCCTTATGCACAACAATGCTATTGCTGTATAGTGTATTATGTCGGCATGCTGTGTAAAGTATCACAGAGATGTCAAGCGAACAATCTTCTGTTATGTACGACATTGAAAGAGTAAAATCCTCTTCCCGCATTTATGCTGGCTTTGAGATAGCATGTAACAACAACAGCCAGCTTTCAATCGAACTACCTTGCTTTAGATCCTGGGAAAAGAATTGAAACAATCCTGTACTCCAAAACACCCGCAGCTACTGTAACCTGTACCAAACTGTACTAAATCGCATTTGGAAAACAACAATCACATCAGCACCACCACCACCAGCACCATCAGCACCAGCAGCCCCATGAAGCAGCAAAAGCGGCAGAAACAGCCTAGGAGCTGAGCTCCTTGGCGAGCTTCTCTGCCTTGGCCACCACCACCACCTCCTCGATGCCTCCCACCCTGTAGAACGCCTGTCCCTGCTCAGGGAGATCATCGTACTTGCCGTCCAACACACCCTGTGAGGGGGATAGGGTGGTGTAGGGGGTTGTGCGAGTGTGCAGAGAAGAGACAGGATAAGGGGAGAAGGGTAAACGGCCAGCCAGTAAACACCTCAGCCATGTAAACGGGCTGCCTCACAACCGTTCACATGAAAGTGAAATCAAGTGACAGCAGCAAGATTCGAACTCAAGACCTCAACCGCCACCCACCTCGAAGCTGGTGATGCTCTCATTCACATCGGCGTATTTGACCGCTGAGGCAATGAAGACCTCAGCCACGTGGAAGGGCTGGCTCAGGAAGCCATGCCCCCTGCTGCCACGCCCCTTCACATGACTGTGCAATCAAGTGACAGCAGCAGGAATTGAACCCGAGACCTCACCTGGAAGCAGGTTTGCCCGGCAAGCCAGTGAAGACCTCAGCCACATGGAATGGCTGGGTCAGGAAGCGCTGGATCTTGCGCGCACAGGCCACACCAGCTTGTCGTCCTCACTGAGCTCGTCCATTCCCAGAATGGCAATGATATCCTGAAATAGAAAGAGCAGAGAAGGATGGTATCAGTGGGGGCAGAGATGTGGAAGGGCTGGCTCAGGAAGTGCTGAACCATGCGAGCGCGGGCCACCACCAGCTTGTCGTCTTTGCTCAGCTCGTCCACTCCCAGAATGGCAATGATATCCTGAAATAGAAAGAGCAGAGAAGGATGGTATCAGTGGGGGCAGAGATGTGGAAGGGCTGGCTCAGGAAGTGCTGAACCATGCGAGCGCGGGCCACCACCAGCTTGTCGTCTTTGCTCAGCTCGTCCACTCCCAGAATGGCAATGATATCCTGAAATAGAAAGAGCAGAGAAGGATGGTATCAGTGGGGGCAGAGATGTGGAAGGGCTGGCTCAGGAAGTGCTGAACCATGCGAGCGCGGGCCACCACCAGCTTGTCGTCTTCGCTCAGCTCGTCCATTCCCAGAATGGCAATGATACCCTGAAATAGAAAGAGGAGTGGAGGAGATAATGTTACAAAAAGGATGGGAAATTTGCCCAAGGATGGGAAGTTTGCCCAAGGATGGGGGGCATAGAGTGCTCGTGAGGCATTTCATGCTCTATCAATAAAAACGCACTAAGGATGACTTGAGCCATAGCGTGGGAACAGTCTCTCCTGCAGCTTCTTGTAGTCCTGAAGCACCTCCTGCACGCCAAGAGTAGGTGGTGGAGGAACCCCTTCCAACCCCTTCCAACCCCTTCCGACCCCTTCCGACCCCTTCCGACCCTTCCGACCCCTTCCAACCCCTTCCGACCCCTTCCGACCCCTTCCGAACCCTTCCGACCCCTTCCATCCCCTCCACATACCCCACTCACAGCAGGAAAGCGGTCAAACCTGCAGGTTCTTGTAGTGCTCCATGCCCAGGATAGACGGAGAGAGCATGCGCGAGGAGGAATCCAGAGGGCCCACCACAGCAGGGTAGATACCCAACTCGGAGATCTGCAGAGTGACTGGGTGGGGGAGGATGGGAGACAAAGGAAGGGTATTCTGTGCTCCATGCCCAGGACGGACGGGGAGAGCATGCGCGAGGAGGAGTCAAGGGGAACCACAGCGGGGTGGATACCCAACTCGGAGATGTGCAGTGGCAAGAAGCAGAGGGGGACAAAGGAATAGGAAAGAAAAATGAGTGCTCCATGCCCAGGATGGACGGGGAGAGCATGCGCTATGTGGAGCAGGGTGGATACCCAACTCGGAGATCTGCAGATTGTTTGAATTGTGGGCAAAGGGAAGGGAGAGGGAGCGAGTGGGAAAATGAGAGGGAGGGGGTGGGAAAATGAGAGGGAGCGTGGGAAGTTAAGAGGGTAGGAAGATGAGGGAGAGGGCGGAAGGTTGAGTGGGAGAGGGTGGATGGAAGGTTGAGTGGGAGAGGGCGGAAGGTTAAGTGGGAGAGGGTGGAAGATTGAGTGGGAGTGGGTGGAAGATGAGAGGGACGGAGTGGGACGACGAGAGGGAGGGAGTGGGACGAAGAGAGGGTGATGGTGGGAGGGTGGGAGGGTGTGAGAGCAGCTATGGCAAAGTGGACAAAAGTGGGACTGCAAGACCAAAGCGGGCGGAGAGACAGGCAAGTGGATGGCCTGCACTGACGTGACGAAGCCCTTCTTGGTGACGTGATTCCCTCCCTTTGAACCCCTCCCACCCTCCCGTCCAACCACCCAGCCACTAGAAGCTTACAGCACACACACTGGCTCACCTGACGAGACAGCACAGTGGTAGCGTCCAAATGCGCGAAGGTGGTAGCGTCCAAATGCGCGAAGGTGGTAGCGTCCAAATGCGCGACGGTGGTAGCGTCCAAATGCGCGACGGTGGTAGCGTCCAAATGCGCGACGGTGGTAGCGTCCAAATGCGCGACGGTGGTAGCGTCCAAATGCGCGACGGTGGTAGCAGGGGCGGGATCCGTGAGAGTATCAGCAGGCACGTAAATCGCCTGCACTGACGTGATGGAGCCCTTCTTGGGCCTCCTGTTCAGCCGCCCCTTCACATCCTTGACCTTTTCTCCCCACCTTTCCACGCTCAACAAGACGATTTCTTTCCTCACCTGGCGAGACAGCACAGTGGTGGCGTGGCGTCCAGATGCGCGATCGTGGTAGCAGGAGCAGGATCCGTCAAGTCATCAGCAGGCACGTAGATGGCCTGCACTGACGTAATAGAACCCTTCTTGGAGGTGGGAATGAGTCTCACCGTCGCAACTCACCTGGCCTGCCATCAGCTCCCCCACTGACCCTCGCAACCATTCCACGCCACTTGCAGCGACATACAGCAATTCCAACCTGGGCAAAACTCAAGTTCCTTTGTCCTACCGTCGAGGCCGAGTGACTCGAGATCATCCTCCCCGCCCCCGGCCCCGACCACCGTCGTCACCGATTCTCACCTTGGCGATCTCCAGCTGTCAACTGCCCCCCGGCCCTGGCTGCTTCTCAACCACCCCCGATGGAGTCTGACCTGCCATTGACCTGCCATTGACCTGCCATTGACCTGCCACTGACCTGCCACTGACCTGCCACTGACCTGCCATTGACCTGCCACTGACCTGCCACTGACCTGCCACTGACCTGCCATTGACCTGCCATTGACCTGCCATTGACCTGCCATTGACCTGCCATTGACCTGCCATTGACCTGCCATTGACCTGCCATTGCCTGCCATTGTCCTGCCATGACCTGCCATTGACCTGCCACTGACCTGCCATTGACCTGCCACTGACCTGCCATTGACCTGCCACTGACCTGCCATTGACCTGCCACTGACCTGCCATTGGCTTGCCGATTGACCTGCCATTGACCTGCCACTGACCTGCCACTAACCTGCCATTGACCTGCAACTGACCTGCCATTGACCTGCCATTGACCTGCCATTGACCTGCCATTGACCTGCCATTGACCTGCCATTGACCTGCCATTGACCTGCCATTGACCTGCCATTGACCTGCCATTGACCTGCCACTGACCCGCAGGTTTCCCAGGTAGTCAGTGCGCATGGCAGGCCAATGGCAGGCCAATGGCAGGTCAATGGCAGGTCAATGGCAGGCCAATGGCAGGTCAATGGCAGGTCAATGGCAGGTCAATGGCAGGTCAATGGCAGGTCAATGGCAGGTCAATGGCAGGTCAGTGGCAGGTCAATGGCAGGTCAATGGCAGGTCAATGGCAGGTCAATGGCAGGTCAATGGCAGGTCAGTGGCAGGTCAATGGCATCAGGCAGTGGCAGGTCAATGGCAGGTCAGTGGCAGGTCAATGGCAGGTCAATGGCAGGTCAATGGCAGGTCAGTGGCAAGTCAATGGCAGGTCAGGTCAGGTCAATGGCAGGTCAATGGCAGGTCAATGGCAGGTCAATGGCAGGTCAATGGCAGGTCAATGGCAGGTCAATGGCAGGTCAATGGCAGGTCAATGGCAGGCCAATGGCAGCACCCTGGGGGCGTCCGTGTCTGGGTTGGATGGGTGCGAGTGGAGAAGGGAAGGCATGGGCGGAAAGA